AGGGAAAACTAAACCACACCACCGTGCTCAAGGACGGTACTAACCCAATTGTTTTAACCTTTGATGTTTGTATTGCTTGTTTTAAACCAGGGGGACATTCATGCGGGTTGGTTGACTGGAAAACAACATACGCTCACAATCATAAATATTTGTGTCCTACACCCATCAACTGGGCCATAGGGAACCCCAATCAATGGGTCCCTTGTGGAGGTTCCATCGAGTGCTCGGGTTGGTCTTGTGTCTGTGTTTATACTGGGGGAGGGTACTTGGGCTGCAATCATCTGTCACATTTCAAACAAATATCAGGGTCTACCACAGACAATAAGGTAGAAATCACCATCTCCAGACAACACCCTGCCTTGGATACTTATGGTATAGGGATTGATGACACAGGATCGGATCCAAACACTTACATTACCATAATAACCGAAATCATATATGAAGGTAAGGAAACATCATTAGGTTGGTCTGTATACAATAATTTGAGGAAATTAGATACAGCCCCTGATACCAGTGTTATTGCATAAAACTTGTTCATGGATATGGCAGAAAAAATAGCAAAAGGTACATGGGATAACTCCTACCAGACCTGGACAGCACCTGACAATGCTACCACCACACCTGCCAAGTTCAACACCTCCCTCCTGCCTTATCTCAATGACACAACATCTTCCCAAATTTGGACAGCCCCAAATAACATGTATTGGATTTGTGGTAACCTAGCCTATCCGTCCCTTCCTGCAGATTGGCAAGGGTCATGTGTATTGGGGTGGATAAGACCTTCCTTTTTCCTCCTCCCGATCTCTATTAAGCAAGAACTAGGCATCCCTGTGTATGATACATTATCCCGCAGGAAAAGAAACACCGATAATGCCTTTGCAGGCTTCCCCTGTCAATCAGAATATACAGGTGATACCTGGACCTAACCCCCACATATATATGATTAATAGAATTATTCGCTTACAAGCTGTTTTAGATTTAGCTGGCCAATGAATAGACAAGGCTCTAAACACTCTAGCAACTGCCACAGACAAATTGCGCACAGCTGTCTACCAAAATCGCTTGGCTTTAGATTACATACTAGCCAAAGAAGGAGGGGTGTATGGTAGGTTCAATCTTACGAATTGTTGTCTTCAAATTGATGAAGTTGGCAAAGTAGTAGCACAATTAACAACTGAGATGCGACAATTAACCTATAATCCTAATCAAGTATGGCAAGGTATTGATCTTAAAAATATTTTTAGTTCCTGGTTCCCAAAACTACCAGGATTACAAGCTATAGTAGCTCTCATAGATACGATTGCTTTAGGATGTGTTATTCTTCCATGTGTATTACCAATTTTTATTCGCACTATCTCCAATAGTCTATCCTTGTTAGCTGAAAAGCACGCCATTGCACAGGTTAATGCCCTCTGGGAAAAGGAACCTCTGTACAAAGTCATACCCTCAGAAGACCCTGATGCGTACGCTCGCACAGATTTTCGCATGGGCAGTGACGAAGATCCAGAAGAAATTTCTCTATAAAACTAAAACAGAGGAGATGCAGTAATAAATTAGTTTCTACAGTTTCGGTACATACCAGGCCTCAAGGCCTCTAGGCCTCACGTAGGCTGAAAGCGTACCAGGAACAGAGATCATCAATCAACAAACACGTCATCATGGGCGAATAACTGTAATGCAGGCGCTGATTTGTTACTTTGTACCTTTCACACTGACCATGCACTGTAATTGGATGTAACTATGTGTGCACTAATATTCCTTCTCATGTAACTTAATGGTTGGATAAATTTCACTGCTTGTGACGTATCACTATGTGTTTTTAATAAAAGAGCTTCCCGAACTTGTGATCGGGGCAGCTCATCCAAGATAGAACCTGCGTTGGTGTCTTTCTTGATGTATTCGACCACCCAGTGGGCAGCCTTCCAAATGCGGAGCAAAGCCGCAGGCCATCATTGGCTATGGAGGTAGAAAACTACAAATTCAAAATAAGTTTTCAAGACAGCTTGGTTATATCTCTGCACTTCAATGATATCTTTGACTTTTGGATATGTGAAATGAATTTGATGCTTTTCATTGTAAGCCACTGAGTGGCTCTGGATAATCAGATGGGTACCATATAAATTTAATAAACAAATAAATAAATAAACAAATTTGAATTTAGGGGACTGCTCAGGAGTCACTTTGTAAGTCAACAGTCAAAGCTGAAGAAAGTTATTTCTTTTTAGCTAATCTATAAAAGTATCCATTAGGTTATTTATCTATTAAATCTATACACTGCCCATCTCACCTAAATAACTATGGTGGTCACATTGAACTGCATTTCTGAACACATTTTAGGTCATTTTTGGAATTCTCTTACCTTCTACTTTTATTAAGCATACTTCTATAATGTTACTACAAAAAGAGTTAGGATATATAATATTCATTTTTTACATTATTGATCAGCAAGCATTCTTCTATTATGATAGCACGTTAAAAAAATTAGCCTATAAAAATTATTTTAAAAGGAGAGATGCCTATATATTTCAGTCACGGTGATTTAATATGGCCAGTGCTTTTAATTTTATGACCATGTACATCTACCTATACAGGCATTTTTTCCAGAATTTGCATTACACTTAAATGGCTTACTATTTTTAATTATCAAAGCTGTAGTTGATAGAAATGAATTTCACTTATGAAATTTGAAAAAAGAAACACTGTATTGATGAATAGGAAATAGATTTTAAATTATTCATTCTGGAATATTCAGGAAAGTTATAATACTTTAATTTCTTTGAAGGTATATACATATATAATAACTTGTATCCATTCTAAAAAATGCAAAATAACTTGTAATAGCATTCTCAAGCATTTACTATAGTGAGCAGCTAATCAGACACAATGTTCCACAAACTAGACAAGAGCATAGATTATTTTTCTTCCTAACATGCTGGAAATCTTGGAAAATAGTAATGGCAAATGGATTCTCCTTTTAATGAGAAAAGAACAATAATCTTGACCCCATCCTGATATAAACTAAGTCCAGTGCCACCTTGTGATAACCTATATAATGACATTTATTGAAATGTTTAATCGTGGATCAGGCAAATCAGTCAATTAAGCAGGAATCTAAATATTCATAATTCAACTGGAAAGAGTACAAATAATTTTCAGGAGACTTTGGGGTACTATACCCTTTCTGCATTTTCCGACAATAACCTTCCCTTAATAGGACAGTGTTTAAAGTTTCTGTTAAGTATTTACAAATACATAATCAGAACATAATCAAAACGTTACAATTTTTCTTTTATCTTTATTTGTTTCAATAAGCATCCTTTTCTATTATTGTCTGGCTATAAATGTGATAATTCTCATACTAAATTGTTATAAAATACCCATAGTTCTTTTATTTACTAGAGCTTTAGTTGCTACTAGATACTTTCCAAGTCAGGATACACAATTGTTCCATACATTGGATTGGAAATGCTAATTTGTCTTCTCATTAGCAATTCTGGTAGTTTATACCTAATATCTGTCGCACATAATTTTGAAAGACCATTTGTGGATAATTCTTTCTTAGATTTCTTCTAGGCATGCAGTATGCTTCACTACCAGCTTGAAAGTAGGCTAAGATTAATACAGAAAAAATGTGGCACATGTTCAGAGTGATTAGACTTCTGCCAAAATTGGTCAGTTTCAGCTGGTATGCCAAAATTAGTTTGCAACAGACAAAAATCAAGCAAGGAGAATTCTCATATATCCTGAACAAGTTTAAACAATAAATATATAAACTTTTTGGTTTAAATAATATACTAGCCTTTATCAAAGACTGACAATTATCTTCCATGGAATGCTAATTTAAAGAGGTTTCTCTTAAAACCGGCCATAACTTTTTGTCAGGTTTGCACAGAAGCTATAAAAGTGACAAGCTGTTTTAACAAAAATCAATGAAATGCCGTGTTCCTGCTCACATGAAGTCTGAAGCACTGCTTCTGAATTATTTTCAAAGTATGCATGGCCCTACTGCACATCTTTTTAAAAACAATAAAACTGCCAATATTCTTTTATTGAAATCATTAATACTGTTCTTGATAATTTTAGTTAGATGCTTTTAAGATTAAGGAAAATTGGAATAGTGGTGCTACTTAGTTACACTCCTAATTTAAACCCAGAACTGAAAAACATTTCTTTTCAGCATTCTATTGTATTGGAAAGAATTTAAAAAGGATATCAGCTACTGAATTCAAATCTGTAAATCAGTGTGACTTTAAAGTATTTTAAATTAAGGGAAACATTGGAAACCAAAGTTAGAGTGTAACATTTAAAGTAGAAATAACTACAAAAGCTTCTAAAATACTTACACCTGGATATCTTATAATGCAAGTTGCATTTAAAAAAAAAAAATCAAATATTGGAAACCCTGAAAATATTAAATTATTCAAATAATTATTAATTAAATCAGGTGGCTCTGGTTTAAAACATATATTCATTGATATAAAAATAAACAATGATTGCACTTTTTGTATGTGAAATGTTTAAACAAGGGTAAAAATTCTACACTTGCAAAATACCAACGTTTAAAAATGTTTTCAGCTTTTTCTTTAGACATTTATTTTTATTTAGATTTTCCTTTGAAAAGAGATTACCCTTCTGTTATAGGCCTGCAACAGTCTGAAAACATAAATGTCAGTTATGCATACCCCACTGAAGAATTTATGCAAAAACTATGGACACTACTATACACACTGAACTCACAGAACAAAGCATTGCATACATACAGCATTTTCATATTATGTTTCTAGTAACTGCTGTGTGGAAATGCCATCCACATAAATGGCAGTTCCTTGAAGAGAATAGGAAAAGCTGAAGTTATGCTGATTAAGATAAAATAGATTTTACAACAATTTGTTAATGCACAAATATCTGTTTAACTCATTGTATTACAAGGAAGAATACAATAAAGTACAAAGCTTAACAGGTCATAATGAATTTGAAGTTTTCATTTAGAAAAATATTACCTCCGCTCCTGAATACTTTTCTGTTTGTATGACAAGCTCATCCAAATTGACCTCAGAAGATATTGGCATGTTGCAAAACTGAATTTTAAAGATTTCTCTGCGAGTGGCTTCATCAGGCAAAGGAACATATATAATTCTGTCGAATCGACCAGGTCGTAGCAATGCCTATAGTAACAAAGTCAGATAGACTTATTAATACATCAGAAAAGGTTGACAAATAAAATGAAAACTTATATACTATTTATGAAAGTAGTATTCACTTTAAAATAGATACTTCTGTAATATAATGTAGCTTAAACTCAAAATGATACAAAATAAAATACATAAAGGGTGTTATGTGTCTGGTGTTTGTCTGTTTGAACACTATAATAAAGCCCTAGAGTTCTATAGTTTCTTCATTTTTATCACTATCTATTTTGTAGTCCCACCAGTTTTTACTTGCTGGCAAATTGTATTTTTTGCAGATATTCCAATGCATTGCTTCTTTGTCATACTATTGGTATTGTATTAGTCTGCATAATCTTATTGTAGCAATTAGCAATAAGCAGTCCACTGTTTCTTCAGCTTCTTCTCAGAGGCAGCATTTTCTGCCTGTTATTATCTTTTAAATTCCGGCTTTGTATGCACTTATTCTTAGGGCATGGTGTTATGCAGCCAGAATTAGTCCATCTCTTTCTTCAACTTTCCTGGCCTTAGTCATTGCCAGATCTTCTTGTTATCTGTTTTGCCTGCGTGTGTGTATGTGTGTGTGTGTGTAGAGTGACCATGTAATAGTTTTTGAATGTCTCATTTATGTTCCTCACTTGGTCTTTCTTATAGGCCAATTTGCATTCTTCAATAGCCAGTAATCCTTCATAGTATACTAGTTTCAATGCATCTTCTTCACTGTCCTTAGATATTCTTCAAATGTCCTTTTGGTTCTTTAACTCCCTGGTAAACTCCACGCCTACCCAAATTCCTTGGTAAATAGAGTCTGTCAATGTAACCACATGCATAAAGGGTATAGTTCATTGTCATCATTTTTCTGATCTTGGTATCCAAGGCTTCTAGTTCTGCTTGACTTCAGTCTACTGTTCCAGATGTTTACCTAATGACTGGAACTGCCGAGGTGTTAAATTGCTTTGATGCTATTTCTTTCACATAGTTTGGGCTTTATGATATTTTCACTCAGATAATATATTCATTAGAAAATTTCTTTCTGACTTCAACATCAAGTATGCTTGATGTTGTTAGCTTGAAGGATGCCCAGCTATTTCTAGTAATGTTCTTCGTGCATATTCTTGATGTTCTTCCTATAGGTCATCTTGATTACTTCAGTTTTTATTATTTTCCCCCTACTGGTGGTAAGATAATGTGACACATTTGTTTAGTCCAAAGCCCACTGCAATATCTTGGCTAGATATGGTAGATAGACACTACCGACAGATAGTGTCGATTACTGTTTCCATTTAAGATGGTGTTTTTCTATACAGCTTCAGACAGCCCATACAGAGAAGCTGAGATAGTCTGGCAAATATTTTTGATGTTTGGTAGCCATGGCCTGACTTGTTCAGTATTCCTTGTTCAGAGGAAACAATGCAATGACAAACATTCTGAGAAAACCATTAACTAGTCATTCTGTGAGATTTTAGAAAAGAATTCATTGCTTACAAGGAACTAAAAATGGTTTATCAATATGTGCTAAATCATACCAAACCAAGTTGACATTTCTGGATATATTGACTGGTTTCACTGATCACAGAACAGTTATGGACACAGTGTACCTAGACCTCAGCAAAATATTTGACAAAATGTCCAGTGAGATTTTACTAGAGAAGATTAAAAATGTTGGCTTATAGGAAAAAAACCAGTTGAAATATAATATTGAAGAATAAATCAATTATTCTGCAGAACCTAGACAAAAGTTTCTACCAGTATATTACAGGGTTCAACATAGTTAAGCTAGGTGTTAGGAAATATAAATATGAGTTTTGCAAATGATACAAAAATAGGGTGAATTCACTCTAGAGAAGAAAGGGTACACTTCCCAATTCAAAAGGCTTTTGAAGCCACTATTTATTAGACAGATCACAGAATGTTAGTTAAATTTTGAGTTCTCCATATTCAACTACATACCATATTCCTAGTAGAAACTCTTATTTAATCCTTAGAATAACACCAAAATATGGCTATATTATTGGCTAACAAAGACCCTTTTCAATCATTAATATCTATGTAACAAAAATATTTTTCATTGTCATTACATTGACATTAAAAAAAAAGCTTGCATGCAGATTTAGACTTTCCAAATATATTTTCAGCTGGATGCATTTAAGCCACAGTATGTAACCCAAATTGTTTTTTATGCTCTACGTTTCCCTTAGGCAGTATAGTTTGAGTTCCAGTTGACTACAGATATTGCATGGTTGTCCTGGGCTCTCAGCCAATAAGACTTTTCCCAGCCTGATCATGTCAATGAAAGTCATGCTGAAAAATAGTAGGAAGAAGCCTTCCTTCCTGCACAGCATTGATCAAGTTAACACCCTTCCTTGAGTTTCTTTAAAAAGGCCATTGTGAGCACTTTCAGGTGGAAAAAGAAATCTATATGGCATGCGAAGAGATGTCCTGTTGTTTTTAAAACAAAAGCACACATATTTTTGTAAAGAAATTAAACAAGAAGAACAGTGTAGACACCCATCAGAATGTTTCCTTAAAGTCTCAAAAAGCTGGAAGATATAACTGCCAGTTCATTGTTCAGTCAGATCAGTTATATCAAGATGCTGCTTGGAATTCTTGAGCACCTTGGGCATTATCCAGTATCCCTCCAGAAGTATGTTGTGTGCTTGGATCTCCCACCCCCACCCCCAGCAGCGAGCAATAGCATCTCTAAAAACTTATGAGAAAGCCTGCAATTCAGTAGCAGAGCGTAAATACTGTTCTAGTATGGTTGGGAAACTGGGTAATGAAATATCTGCAAGCAAACAACCAAGCTCAGAGAGTACCAAGGACTCCAGAGTTTAACAATGAGTTACATGTATTCTCTTCTATTAGGATACACTAAAGTCAACCCTTTGAGGCAGGCCAGGTAAACAACAGACACTGTGGAGATTCCAGGAATGCTGCATAATTGTTGTTGGTTTAATAACAGAACATTGAAATCTGTCCAAGTTTCTTTATTCATTGTATATTTTGAGTTTCTTTTTCATTATTTCTTGGACTGTGTAACATCTTGCCTAAATCCCTCCTTAACAGTAATTTCATACCTTAAGGTCAGCCCTAAATTCATTTATATCTGTTCACTTAAATTTCAATGGAATCTTGTTGAGAAGAGTCCTATTATCACATTTGCCCAAGAGCTCATCAACCTTCTATATAGGCCTGTTTAATTAGAGTCATAAATATATTTTATTCTTCTCAGTAATGTCCTGGCTGACAATTGAGACCTATCCAAAAACTACATGCCATGAAAATCCATGACACAGCTGGAAATGTTATTTTCCTTTATCAAAACTCAATTGTCAAAATGTACCAGTTTATATTACCACCAGAGAAATAAACATAGAGATACATGTATTTTTAGTAGCTAAACAAACTAGTGATGTTGTACAAAATAGTGCTTAGGACCATGGATGGATAAGAATAGTCTGAATCTAAATTATGTCCCTGGAATTGCTATGAGAGCACTAAATTATAGCAAATCTGATCTTACAGATGAGACAGAATGTTAAGCATATGAGACCAAGAGATAATGTTGAGAAATAATTATTCTAAATAGCAATAGTTATAAATTCTGTTTTTAAGAATCAGGCCGCACAACATTTCTATCATATCACACTTACTCAAGATCTGAAACGTTGTGCAAGCTGACAAGAAAAGACATGATGAATTTGACAGCAGGTGTTCAGGAATAATCTGCAATATCAAGTGGCAGTACTTCGTAAGGCACAGACAAGGCATAAACATTTATATGGATATTATCCAGAAAATTAATAAAGCAGAAAAGAAACTGATAGGTTGCAGTTCCAACAAGATTTGACAATTTAGGAGGAGAGGATATTTCTTTGAAGAGAATCCAGAAAGGTCAACTTACATGAGATGAATATGAATACTAACATATAAATCTAAATATAGTTTTCTTCTGTAATGCATAAAATTTGACATCTGATTGGAAGGACAAACATCTAAAAAGTATGAATTTGGCTTGTCCCAATGTAGCATATAAATAATTTCTGTATCTGAATTCAACCTGGTGCTCTTCAGACTACAATTCACATAATTCTATGTAAACACAACCTTTGACCAGTATGCAGGAAGCATGAAAACAGAGGATGTCAATTTGATGAACACTATAAAAATTCACAGGGTGTATTTTTCCTCTCTCTCTCTTTTCTGTTATATTTACGGCAGTAAACAAAACTGCTCCCTTAAAGTTATCCTTTCAACAATAATGGAGTAAAGCGTTTTGGGCTAAAGGTAATTGCTAGCCAAAGTTGCCCAATCCACAGTTGAATAGAACTCTCACCGCACCCTCCTGCCCAGTCCAAATCTAATATATTAATCATTATACCACATTTGTGCTCAAATGCTATAACCAACTGTTTTTCTCTTTGGCTCCAACTAGGAAGTTATAATTTACAGAATTGACACTTTTCTATCACAAGTTTTTAAATTTCTTACTGTTTTGGATTCTGAATTTAAAAGATGTTCAAAAGTTATCAATGCAATGTTTTTTTTTAAAATCATCAGGACATTTTACTTCAAGTTTAAAATGCTTCTTCAAATTAAATGTAATAATTTTGAATATTTTGATTTTGATTTTAAATACATTTAAGAAACCACAGAGTTCCATTTAAAAAACAGATACTTATATGCAATTTAATCTGCTGCTGTTCCTTCACTTCAGTAATTTTTTTTTCAAAAAGAAGCATAGCAGTGCATTACTAAAAACTGAAATGTCCTATTAATGTGCCCCTCTTGAATAAAATAGGCAAATTAATCCTAACTGATTTCTCTATATATTCTGGTTGTTTACCTCATCCATTTTTACCTACTATTTTGCTGCTAATTTGCTGATGGACTAATCTAGAGGCAGGTACATTTACCTAAACATTTCCCATGCATTTTGTCATTAGAACAAGCACTTTGTTCTTCTAACCATCTTATCCCCAGGTCTTGAGCCTCTGCTG